AAAAGATGGGCACTGCCAGAGATTGCCACCTTTTTCTAACAAATATCCTGCTCTTCTCACAGCTATACTATATAAGAGTCATAGTAGAAGTTTCTTCTATCTTTATACAAGAGCTGTGTTCACACATCATGCTGAAGAATAATGTGATTTATTGAGTTTTAACATGTGTGAACCCAGGCAGCATCATCTATGGGGAAACAGGGTGAGGAGTGGTTTGTTTATTTATTAGATTTACATTCTGTCTTTAATTCAGGAGCTCTATGTGGGACACATAATGCTCCTCCTTTTTATTTTTTCCCACAACAACGCTGTGTGAAGAAGACTGGGTTGAGAGTTGTTTCCATGTCTGAGGATGAGCTAGAACCTGGGTCTCTTTAGTGCTAATTTAAAGCCTTCACAAACACAGTGATGCAAACACAACAAATAGTTGTTTACTTTATGGATCGTACCTAAAGCTTACCACAATATATGAATTTAGTCAGTATCTCCCCATGTATCGGGCTCAGTCCAAGAACAGCAAGGAAACAGTTCATCCAAATTCAGTTCTGTTATTGCTTGCACCATATAGACAGAATCTTGCCAGACTAAATCTGTACTACTGCAACTAGTGGATATACCCTGGGAGATTCCAGGGAGTGGCTACCCTGGACCTCTTTTGCTTCCATGCTCCACCTCCGGACTGTGTTGTCTTTGGCCTCCCTACCCTTCCTGGAACGCACCCCCTCCTTCCTGATAGCCTTGCTATCTGTTGCTATCCACCACCTCACCCTCCCCTTCATAGTCACATACCATCACACTATGCTTTCACTACCTGTTTCTAGCCAGTTGGTGTACAGGAGATCTCGGATTCATGGTTTAGCATCTCCAGTTAAAGGGATCAGATATTATCTGATTGAGTATCTAAGATGCTGGAGCTTTATTAACAATCAAAACAGAGTAGCTTTCACCAAACTGGTGCCCTCCAGAGGTATTGAACTTTGATGCCTACGATGTCCAACCAAGACTGGGCTGGAGATTACAGAAAACTATCAGAAAATTTTGGGAACTGAAGAGGATCTGGAGGGGATCTGCTTGGGAAAGCTGAAGCAGACAATACCGGGCTCAAGAGATTCATTCTGACTTAGTGTAAGATAGCATCTACATCTGTACGTTATCGCCTAGTTACAGAACAGCAACAGAAGATCAGTTGTGTTTGGCTTCAAAAATAATTATGCAGCTTTACTTATTCTTTTCCCCATAACTGCAGCCCACATTTTCTTTTATAATATGCAGTTACCGAGGCAGTGTTGCATTCTTGTATACTGCATTTTGACATGTGAGCACCTGTGATGCTAGAAGAATTTTGAACAAAATTGCAATTCCTGCTAAGAAAAAGTCCACCTCTTCAATTCTACATGTCGTGGAGTTTAACATTAAAAATGTACCAACTCCTTCAAAAAAACATGGCAATCCCATTATGCAATAATTAAACGTGCCTTTTAAAAATAAAATCTGGATAACATCTTAACAATAAAATGTAGTCTTTGAGGCTAATTTCTCCTATTCTCTTTGGCACCCCTTTCTACAGAATGCTTGCCAAATGTTAAGGAAGCGCCTTGAGCCAATCATTAAAAAAAATCCTAAAGGAAAGTGGAAAGACTGGGTAGGTATGATTTATATTTTTTTAAACAGAATAATTTTAATCTTATTAATGGCACATCTTCAGGAACAACTTCTAATACATTAGCTTCAAGTATAAATACAGGAGCAGCACAGAAGGTAAAGTGAACATTATGTCAAAATAGTCAGCAATTCTAAATTTATCTAACAGGGTGACATCTGATCTTCACTGATGCTCGGTGCAAAATGGACACAGTCATATTGTTAGAGCAGTGGGCTCTCTTAGGATCCTAAGGATAGGATAACCAACCCACCATCCTTTGGAGATGGTCCTTTTCCTTTTTAATGAACTTTTGTGATGAGAAAAAAAAAGTAAGAAGCGATAGGTAAATACAAGAGCATTAGAAGTGGAAAATGAGTGGAGCACTCATAAAACTAGTGTTTGAGGCAAGATGACTGCTTCGTGCAAGTTTGTCTAGGAGCACCTTCTAAACACAGAGTTTCCAGTCCCCAAACCTCCATTCTGTGGGGCCAATGAGATTGCTTAGGTCAGCAAAGAGACACTTCTGGGGAGGTAATCCTAGATGCATGAGCAGAGAGAAAATTCAACATGACTTTCTCACCTCTCTTACGCAAAGGTGGAAGGCTGACCTTTAATGATCCCCATTTTGGTTTTGTTTTATGCATAAATGCATTTGTGTCTCTATTACAAATATTGCCATTTAACAATCTACCACTTTCAGATTAAAGCAGCCTACAAGGAAAGCATCAGCCTCTCTGCTACTGGCTTCTTCAAGTAAGCAATTTGATCCCAATTCCTAAATGGCTTTATTTTCAATATCAAAGGTGATAGGTTGGGATTTAATGGGAATTCCAAGTGCTGAATATCAATGCACCTTTGGGAGGGCAAGAGCCACTTGATTGTCCTCAAGGACCCAATATTAGAAAGACCCTTCCCCACACTTGAACATAAGCCATGATACAAACTTGCATGACATTTTTTTTTCTGCTGTGTCCCTATGAAGTTGTCATCTCATCCCAACCCCTTAGTGAGGGACACATTTGTAAGCAACTCTTATCTGTACCAGTATTAAAGTATGTTTTCCCCCTTAAAGTAACAGCACTCAACAGCCACGGGGTATGTAAAATGTATTACTCTTCACCACCCATTACATCAGAGGTGAAATTGGGCGGCCAGTAGCAAGCAGGATGAGAGAGGCACTCATGGGCCATTTCAGGGCATACCTTTTCCAGTCCCCTCTAGTCTCCCTTATCTGCTGCCATTCTGCTATTGTCTCCCTAAAGAGCTGGACACAACACTCCTGTGCTGGTAGTCCTTTAAATTTGCACAGGTGTGGTAGAGCTGTATTTCTTTACATGGAAGTTCTTTTGCATTGTCTAGAAACCACAGTTCTGCTGCATGCAAACAATTCCCTGCCACATGTCTAACAGTGCAACACAATGTGTCACCCTCTGACCTTCTCTGCAGAATGGTGAGAGTTGGTGGCCAAGTATATATAAACAAGGTTCAATTAGACTTGCACAATAGCATTAGACTAGTCAGCCAGTAGAACTCCAAGAGCTTTAACTCAATAGCCCTTAACAGATCCATGCTGAAGATGAAGGGAGGAATCAACCAATTGCTTAGCTTATCACACCCTGCACATGCATAATCAGCTTAATTACAAGTAGCTTCATTTGGCAGTGATTGGGAGTTGCAACACCTATATATGTTTTCTCCCGACTTAAAAGGTTGATAGCACTTTAATTCAGAAGGGGGAAAAGGCCCAGAGAAACAGAAGGGAAGGATTTCCTCCTGGTGATGTCTTGCTCAGGATAAGTGAGACAAACCTGCAAGGCTCAAGCCTACAATAAACCAATGGATGAGATCCAAAAATATCTGGGAATTGGGATGTGGCAAAAAGTCATTGACAGGCTCAAAGTGAGGGACAGAGACTATCATTCCAGAGCAGTTCAATGCTAGATGCAACAGGGGCCAATATTTGGCAAAAGCCAGGAATCCTATTTATCTGAGTTACAAACTCAGACAGTTCAGAAGTTACCTTAGCAAATTCTAGGTCTCATTTGAATTCTTTAATGAAGGATTCATTAAAGTGGCAGGAAACCACTTCTGTCATTGGCTTTTCTGTCTAGCAATCAATTTCCTTTTTGTTATTTCCCATTGAAACAGAGGGAGCACCTTCATCTCACCCCAGATTCTTTATTTCTTTCAGAGTGTCCTAATAATTTGGTCTTTTAACATGATCTATGTACCTCTATTTGAAAAGACACCTAAAGGAAACTCTTTCATTTTTTTCCCTTCCCATCAGAGGATATCCTGTCAATATGGACTGGGAGAAAGGAAAAGGTCACGCATTTCCATATTTTAATTTTGCTGCAACTTGTTCTGAAGTTGAGATTGACTGCCTGACCGGTGACCATAAGGTAATCAGGAAGAGCATCTCCACCTCTCTGCTCTACCATGGGATAGCCTATGGGGTGGTTCAGTGGTCCTTCTGCCTTTTAGGTTTGGGTGATGAACAATTCTTGTATTGAGGCAATGCTCAGCCACCAAACATTTTGAAGGATAAACACAGAGAACTCATAATAGATATCAAGTATTTAAAGGTATAAATAACTGGCCACTCAAGATAGGAAACTTTAAGAGCTATTGACTTGGTCAAATCAGAACATATTTAGGTTGGATATGAGGGAAGCAGTAGTCTAACACATCCAGGTTGTGTCTGGCTGGGGAAGGCTGTGTCAGGTTGTGGAAGGCTGTTGTAGGGTGTGTTGTTTGTGGCCAATACTATAAAATAGTCTTTGTGGAACTGGACAATGCCACCATAGCCAGGGTCCATAAACCAGGAAGTGAAGTGTGTGTTGAACTGTATGTAGAAAGCTCCAGGTTCAATCCTTGGCACAGATAAAATTGGGCAAAATGGGCAAATGTGCTAAGGCATCTTTTCATGTGCCAGCTAAGATGGATTCTTAGCAGGGGATGGTGGCTGGGGCCTGCATATAACATAGGATGGGGGTGAAGACTGTCACCGGGTGGAAAGTTAATACAACTGGGGAGTGGGGTGTTGTCCATAGGCAAGGGCAGAGTTTTCTGTGTTTTTTTCTGCATTTGGGATGAACTTGAGGTTTTTTATTTTTTAAGTATGTTAAATTTATTATAGATCTTATGCTACAGTTTTCCATACATCCCATCACAAAATAATGGAAGACTGTCACCATTCTGGTAACTGTGAAAGAGATTCACAGTCTCTTTCAGGGCCTGCAAAAAGGGATTCAGCAGCTCCATGCTGCCATGAAACATCAGGATGCCAATCCCCAGACTATACAATGACCTCTCCCCATCTGATGCTTCTTGGAAGTTTTTTATTTATTAAAATTATTTATATAGCCACTCATCTCATAACAGTGTCTCTGGGTGGCATACAAAAATTAAAACATGAACCACAACATACAATCCCTGGTGCCTAAGGATAAAACAATGATCCCAATCAGCAGCAAAAGAACTCACCTGACCTCTTTACCCTGGGTTAGTGGGGAAACAGTCAGCTCTTTGGTGCTTGTAAAAGGCTAAGAGGGTTGGGACTATCCTGATCTCCAGGATCTCCTGTTCCATAGGACAGGCACTGCCACAGAGAAGCACAATCCTGGGATCCAACAAGATGACTTTGTTTGATGGAAGGAATCCAGAGCATACCCCCACTACTAGATCTGGGCAGAGCAGAGATAGCTGAGCAGAGACAGTGGGAGAGAGGTGGTCCCAGAGGTAGCTTCACAGGTGATAATTAGCACCTTGCATCACACCAGGAAGCCTATTGGAAGCCAGTGCAGCTTGTGGAGCAGCAATATTATATGAGTGTTTAACAAGAAATGCCAAAAACTGCCCACGCTGCTGCATTCTGGAGCAACTACAACTTCTGAGTGTTGTTCATGGGCAGTCCCATGTAAACTGAATTATAGTAATCCAAAGAGGATTACTCTAAGGTATGAGTCATCATGAGCAAGGCCTCCTGGTCCAGAAATGGCCGCAATTGATGAACAAGATGAACCTGTGCAAAGGCCCCCCTAGCCACAGCTGCTGTCTGCTCTGAGAAGGAACTGTAAGACCAGCAGGACTCCCAAATTGCACACCGACTGGAGAGGTGCAGCCCCAGGCAGAGTTAAAGATGGAAAATCTCTGGAACTGGTGGGGGGGGGGGCTTAAAACCCACAGTTACTCACTGTTGCCAGGTTCAGCCAAACCCCCAAACAGACCTTCACGGTCTTCAGGCATTAGGAAAGGGTCTTGACAAAATTGCTTGGCTGGCTCAGGATGGAGCTGTATACAGGTAGTCCCCGGGTTAAGAGTGCCTGGTTTACAGATGACCCATAGTTAAGAACAGAGCCTATTGTAGCAAAATTTGAGTTAAATACAGAGTTATTCGAGTTAAATACACAATGGTTTGAGTTCATTATACGATAATACTGTTCTGGCTTACATACAAATTCGACTTAAGGACAGACCTTGGGAATGGAACTTGTTCTTAAACTGGGGACTACCTGCACCTGGGTATCATCAGCATACTGATGATACTGCACCCTTTGCCAGCGGATAACCTTGCCTAGCAGTTTCATGCAGATGTTATATGGGGTGGGGAGAGGGGAGAGCCCTAAGGCACCTCACAAAGCAGGAGCCTCGACTTCTCCCACCCTGCTAACACCAACAGGAACTGGCTCCAGAGAAAGGAATAGAATCACTGTAATATGCTTCCCACTCCAATCCCCTAAACCGGCCCAGAAGGATACCATGATCAATAGTGTCAAAAGCCACTGAGAGATCAAGGAGGACCAGGAGGGATGCACTATCCCCATATTGAGCCCACAAGAGATGATAAACAAGTACGATCAATACTGTTTTAGGGCTATAATCAAAAGGGTCCAGATCGTCTACATCTTCCAGGGCTCTCTGGAGCTTAAGCCAACTATCTTCTCAACAACCTTCCCTAAAAAGGGAAGATTGGACATTGGACAAAAATTGTTCAGCTCCATTGTGTTCAGCAATGATTTCTTAAGGAGAGGGCAGACAACCGCCTCCTTCAGGGTGGATGGAACCACCCCCTCCCACAGAGAAACATTCACCACTGCATCAATCCAATCACCTGGCACTTCCCAGGTGACCTTAACCAACCAGGAGGGACAAGGATCCAGAACACAGAACTCACAGCTCTGAGGACCTTGCCATTACACCCACCTCATCAGGACTAATAGGTTCAAACTCTTCCCAGATCACCAGGCAAGACTGTGCCTTAGGCAACTCCTTAGGACCCGTAGAGCCAGATTCCAGCTCTGAGAGAAACTGAGCAATTTTATCTGACAACTTTAACTAAATAATCCTCATACCAGTCCTGCAAGAGTTCCTGCATCTACCTAGGAGGGATGAGGTTACTCTGAACAGGGCCACTGGCCAGCTCTCTGCAGATGCAATAGGGATGGAGAAATAACTATATTTCACTGCTCTTATTGCCACAAGGTAATCCTTAAGAATGTAAGATTTGCCCCGTTCGACAAGAGAAACTCCCGTGACACGTGTGGTTCACAAAAGAGGTTTACTCGAGCGTAACATAAGTTACAAACAAAGCCAGGACTGGCTTGGCACATTTACATTGCTCATTTATAGTTGTCCCAATCCCCCCCCCCCCGTGGGCCCCGTTGCTAGGTTACATATTACAGATTAGATTAAAAATTGCCCCCTTTAATTCCCCCCTTCTACTCGAATGGCAGGTTCAGCCCAGTTCTCTTGTTTCTTTGATTGTTGTTGCCTATGGCGTGGTGGTCATTGCCTTCGGTGGGGCTTCTGTTGCGCGCACAGCCAGGAGCTCCCCCTCGCACAATCGCTCTTCCTCAATTCCGCGGCTCTTTCCTTTGTCCATAGCGCCCGCGGCCCTCTGGCATTAACACATTAGTAAAGTGGCGCCAGGTGGCCCATTCATTAGTTTGCAGTTTCGCACTTCCTCTTTCTGCGCTAGTGCTTGAGCGGTGAAATTGACTAAAGCGCGGCTGGGCAAGTTCCTAGCGGTGCAGCGCCGGCTGAACCTGACAAAGAAAGGCTCTTGCCCGTGTTTGGTCAGGTTCACTGTTCATTTTCCTCCAGCAGCATTCTAGGGATCTCTTAGGCTGTTTCATCACCAGCGTTCCTCTGAAAGCCAGGAGCCTTCCAGGACCTATGTGCATAGAGAAGCTGCATAGGCACAATCTGATCCAGGCCAAAGTTGCCCTCATTCCAAGCGGCAACTAGAGCCTCAGTTGACCCATGCACCATAGCCTAGGAACAACCCCAAGCTCCCTTTGAAACTCATTAGAATCTATCGGGTGCTTGAGGTGGACTGTTCGAATTGGTCCTGCTTCCCTGCAGGGAAATGCAACACCAGAGAAATCCAAAACCAGCAAGGAAGATCCATCCATAGCAAGGGGTTGATAATAACATCCCCCAACTCCAGATAACATTGCCAGTGCCCCAAGATACAAACCAGGTCTAATCTGTGGCCTGCCCTGTAAGTCAAGCAGAGATTACTTGGCTCAGGTCCATAGCTGCTATGAACTCCCAAGCTGCCTCCGAGTCTGTGCCTGCAAACAGCATTTGCTCTGTAGTCTCAGCTTAGTGATGTTTTCTTGGACACAGCAGATCCTCTCAGAGCTATCAAATGCAGAAAGTGTTATGCTTGAAATCCTCCCTCCCCCAGCTTATTTCTCTTAGTAGAGGAAAAGTAGCTGATGTAGCCATACTTACAGGCTCCAGGAGGACAAGTTCAAGGGTGCAGTTCCCCTCCAGCTCAAGGCCCCCAAATATTATCATGCCTGCTGGAAAGACTTCCAGAAACTCTATAGTAGGAATATATTTGTCATTGTAATATCATGGGTTTGGATGTCCATGGCCTTTCATTTTTTTTTTCTGAACTGCTAAAAATGTGCTAATGACAACTTCTCTGTGCAACAGAACCTCCGAACCGACATTGTCATAGATGGCAGTTTCAGCATCAATCCAGCCATTGACATAGGGCAGGTATGTATCAGGCACTTTAAATTCCCACATAACAATCTTTCTGAAAGATCAGAGGAGTGAATCCCAGTTGCATGTTATTGTTCAGGCACTTATTCCCATAAATCTTGATCCAACAGTGTACCTTTTCACCCTATCTAATTTAAAGAGTACCACAGGGATGGTTGTAGTTATAACATATAAACCAAAAAATGTGATGAATAAATAAGTAAAATGGAAATAAATAAAATGTGGATATATACTGTATGTTATGTACATAGTAAGTGAAAAGATAAATCAAATGATATATCATTTCCTTATCAATACTGGGATAGGATGGAATGATAAAAACAATAATGTGAATGTTTTTGCATATCCATGCTGCAGAATTCAGCTCTGTTTTCTCTTATTGATCACATTACATTCTTATATACAGTATTAAGTAATCTACAGTGTTGAATTTTTTATTTTATTTCTTTTATTCTTCCACAACCTGAATATTAAGAAGTTTCCAAGGTATCATGGTTATAGAAAGAAACAGTGCAAATCTGCACCAATTTTTAGTTCATCTTGGTACTTTTATTTCCAGATTGCTATAATAGTGCTGCTGTCCTATGGTGTCCACAAGTAGTGTGTTACATTAGACATTCTTTATTTCTGCATCCTTGACGCAGTTTTTTTTTACTTTCTCTTTCCAATCACACTTCAATGTATGTGCATCTACCTCTGAAAAAGAACTGGATGAGAGGAAGGAGGGGTGTAATTAGGGTAAAGGGACTACGATTATAGCAATGAAATATCTGCAGGAATTATTCATGGATGTCTGGTAAGCTTGCAACAGAAGCACTGCTTGGAGGAACAAAGAGTAGTAAGCTGATTCACTGAGAGCTGTAGCTGAAAAGATTTATGTGTTCAGAATCTTAAGCACCCATGGGCATCTCAAAATGGATGCTTGAGAAAGAGGTCCTCTTTATCCTTTAGGACACTGTTTACCATTCACATACCCTGTAAGTCTTCCTTCAGTAATACAGGTAGTCCTCGACTTATGACAATTCGTTTAATGACTGTTCAAAGTTATGATGGTGTTGAAAAGAGTGCCTTACATCAGTCCTCGCACTTACAACCATCACAGCATCCCCACGGTCACGTGATCAAAATTCAGGTGCTTGGCAACAGGCATGTATTTACGATGGTGGCAGTGTCCCAGGGTCATATGATTGCCATTTGCAACCTTCCCAGCTGGCTTCTGACAAGCAAAATCAATGGGGAATCACATGATTCACTTAACAACCATGGCAAAAAAGTTGTAAAATTGGAGGGAACTCACTTAACAACTGGATTGCTTAGCAATGGAAGTTCTGGTCCCAATTGTGGTTGTAAGTCGAGGACTACCTGTAGTGAAATACTGTGATTGAATATAATGGGACAAGGGAATGGACTTCATGGAATGAAAAAGTCACTGTGCGGAAGGGCAGAGGACTAAAAAGGCAATTCTTGCTGATGCTCACTATTCCTTTGATTCTGAATAAATTACTATGATGGAGTTGGAATATGATGGTGCAATAAAAGAATACTAACTGGCAAAGAAAGCTTTAAAAGAAAATTATAAATAATAAGAAAATTGCTATATGAATGTAGATTACGAGTGGAGGACAGATAAGAAATAGAAAGCCAATATGCATTTTCTACATTTTGTGGAAAGATTCTTAGGTCCAATAAAGCCTGGGATAGGATGGAATGTTTAAACAAGAACTGCAAACCGGCATATGCTGTGGGGGTGGAATTTTCATATCAGGATTTTGACTAGAATGTCCTAACATCTACTCTACCTTTGATGTAAGTGGATTCTTACAAGTCAACGGAAGAGCCTGATGACTAGGTATCTCCAGGTTTAAGCAGACCATCAAAGTTACTGCTCTGCAGAAGAACAAAAAAGATTATTTCTACAGTACTGTATTAGCCTATCCACATTCAGGGAAACAAATTTCCAAGTCCAACGTTTAGGACTACAAACTTAAGAAGTTATTATTTTCTTAGAAGAAATGTCCAAAAACCAGAAAATGTGTATTTTATTCCCTCAGATTGAAGGTGGCTTTGTTCAGGGACTTGGACTTTATACATCGGAAGAAATAAAATTTTCCCCAGAAGGACAGCAGTATACATTGGGTCCTGACACATATAAGATACCGGGTCTTTGCGATATTCCAGAACAGCTTGGAATCTACTTGATGCCAAATTCAAGAAATCCAATTGCTATCTATTCCTCCAGGGTAAGCAAATGATATGGATTGTCCTGGAAACTGTTGAAGTAAGGAGCACAACCCCCAAGGAGAAATTGCCAGCTGTTTATTCAATGATCTTTGGGTGCCTGCTTTACAAGAAAGAGGGACCCCAAAGTATGGGAAAGCAAAGATTTTTAAGGGCTACAAAGTGGGAAATCCTAGGGATCAGATTTGTGGCCTAGTTTGCGGAAGCTAGGCATGTCTTTGTCAGTGTACCTATTGTTAGGCACAACGGGCCTTTCCGGAGGGCAGCCGAGCCAAGGATGTGCATTGTTAAAGGAGAAGGAATGTTGAGGTCATCAGGCTGACTGAGGATGGAACCGTGAGGCTTGTTACTATGTTGTAATTCCCTTATTAGGGCTACCCTTGGGCTGTACTATGAGCTGGTGAGAAGGCTTCCATTCTTTGGTTAAAATGGGATTTCAAGGGGGCTTTGTCTTGGGGCAGGGAGAATCAGTTTGGGTCTCATAGCATTAGGCAAAGAGATGAACTTGGTTTGACCCTAGTCATGTCCAAAAGATGGGGTGGGAGGAAGGGTGCAGCCTCCATTTTGTTTGTTAGATTTATTTTCTCCACTACAGGATGAAGAACAGCTTACAGAGTGTTCCAGGTTTATGAGTTACTTTTCCAGGAGGCATGATGGACCAATTATTTTATTTTATTGTAACAATTTGTATTTGCCCGAACACAGGACTACAGGCAATTTATGTCAATAATATACAATAAAGTAACAGCACAAGCAAAATCCATATCATAAATTAATGATAAAAACAAAAGGACAAAATCAGACATTAAAAAAAAAATTTAAATCAGGGACTTTCCCCAGATCAGAATGATCCCAGCAGAACACTTGTAGACTGCTATCCCTACATGTGGACAGAAAGGTCTGTGTATTAGTTTAGAAAGCAGGAACAGCAATATTAATCACTCTGGAAATTATCAACCTCTAGTCTCTAAGAAAGAGTGAAACCTGTAATGCCTCAGTCTAATAGCTGAGGTAGTTTTTGATAGATCTTTCGAAGGTGGCTTGGCTTCAACTGAAAATCTTGAAAAGACATTAAATTTGGATGGTTCAGTGGCCTGACAATATATAGTATGCATCTTATATTTCTATAAAAGTAGGAAAATAGGCTTAAAGAATCAAAATGATGTGTGAACTATGCATCCCACATAAAGATACATGTTTTTCTGCAAAGAAAAGAATGTTTGCTGTAAAAAGCAATTACAAGTAAAAAGTTTATTGATGGCCAAAAAAGAGGGGCTTGCTTAATACTTAATACCTGCTTAATATGCAAATTACAAATTCAAGATTTCCATAAAGACTTCCCTGTTGTCTTCTCTAAAGCTGAATTTTTACGAACCCTTTAATTACATTCAGTAGTAGTATAATTACTGACATGTAAAACACAAATTTTTTGTCTGACCAGAAAACACTTTTATTGGCACTTAGGATATTGATTATGTGCCATCAAGTTGTATTGACTCCAGAATGATCTATTCCCAACCTGGTCCTTCAGGTCTTACTCAGGATATAGGGAAGGAAAAAAAGGATACTGTTGTTCCTAAACTGAAAAATTATTCTTTTATTCAGTAATTGTATCCCATAGAACAACTGCTGTTTTTCTTCACAATGTATGCTAGCCATGTGTAATGTGTAGAAATGGATGCAATTTCTACAAATTGCAATACAGTTTCACAAAGGGCTTAGTTTTTTATGCACTGAAAATATTCAGAATTTAAGATGCTGCTATCAGAGTAGGACAACTGTTTCACTCTTAGCTGTGTGAAGTTGTTGTATAGCCTTAAATATTATTGTACAACAATGTTGCGTCAATGATTTTTTTTCCTTCTCTTTGGTTATTTTTATTTTCCTCCAGGGATTGGGGGAATCCGGAGTATTCCTTGGATCCTCTATATTTTTTGCTATAAAAGATGCAGTAGGTGCCGCACGGAAGGAAAGAGGATTAAATTCTGTTTTCACACTGGACAGCCCACTGAATGTAGAGAGGATTCGCATGGCCTGCGCTGATTACTTTACAGAGATGGTAAAAACTTTGCCCTAACACTTTCTCTTCCCTTGCATTTATCCTTTCTTTTTACTTCAACCAGTAAGGCAAAGATTATAAAGGAAGGAGCATAAAACCAGATACCTGAAATGCCCAATACTGTTCAGTTAAGTCACTAGCTGAGTAAAAAACGGAAAACTTGATCCAGGTTACCTACTCTATAAATGATGAGCTTATTGTACAGTAGTCAGCGAAGGCTCCTGCTGGAAGAATGGACTTGGAGACTGCCAATTACCCCTGCTCTTGCAGTTTTGTCTCTCATGCTGCTCTGAAATGTCTTCTTTCTCCTCCTCCAGCAACTTTTCAGGAGGTACTAGGGAATGCAGACAGAGGAAAGAGGAAGCTCAAAAAACAAAACAAAACAAACTTTCCCCCAGCACTTCCCCACCTCCATCAGGCCCTATGAGCTGGCATCTCAGGAAACAGGAACTACTTGGATTGCTGGAGTGATCTTGATTGCTCATAGGATAATATAGCAGAAGCTTGAAAGCCTGCCAAAGGAATTCTCCCAGTCATCTGATACTTAGCGTAATTAAGGGGGAGTTACCTTGAATCTCTTTCTCACATTTCCCCTCTACCCTGGACTAAACAATCTTTTCTGAATAGTACTCCCTCCTCCTCTGTGTTCCCAAAATCAGCTAGATATTTAATCATACCACCTCCTGATGTGAATAAAACTCTGCTATACTATTGAATTGTGATTTACAGTGTAAGCTGTGAAATTTCCCCATTCAAAACACACCTGAACCACCAAATCACTGATATCACTAAAACCCCCTCTCATCACAAAATCCCATCTCCCGTACGAGCAAAGTTAAAAATAAAGAGAAAACATAAGAAGCAGAACAAACGTTTATGGTCTCACATTTCCCTTCCAGAAGCCATTGGGAACGCCACACACAGGCTATGAGTATAATACACCTCTACAGCTTTTCATCCCCAACAGCTGATCCAATGTAGGGCTTCTGATCTTGGAAGTGGCATATTAGTGCCATCATTGATAGCCTTACCCTCCATAATTTTGTCTTTTAAGACTCTCTAAAGCTCCTGGGGCTGTTTGCCACAACTTGTGGCAGCAGATTCCAGAATTTTAACTATATGCAATGAACAAAGGAGTATTTCCATGTACGTATTTTGCTGTCCTTGCTATCATTCAGATGAATTAGGCACTCTGAATTTAGTATTATGAGAGAAAGAACTCCCCCATTTACTTTCTATATTCCACACATATTTTCATACTCCAGTACCAGGTCTTCATATCTGCCTTTTGTTCAGAATTAAATTGTCTGAAATGTTGTAACTTTCTCATCAAGGAGTTGCTCAAGCCCCACAAATACTGGACTTGCATCTTCTTTTTCAATTTCTGCAGTATTTTTTTTTTTTTTAATCTGCACTCAGTCATTACCGACTCTGCAGTGACTGCTTGGACGAGTCCTTGCAGTTTTCAAGGCAAGGTGTTTCGGAAGTGGTTTGCCAGAGCCTCCTTCCTAGAGCAGAGCCCAGCTGGCGAGCGCAGGAGGCGGGGTTTTCGTTGCTTCGCGCCCTTTTCGGGCGGGCGCGGTTTCGTGCTTACCGGCAACTGCTCCTGACTCCTTTTGCAAGGCGCCGCCAGCATTTTTCCTCCCACCGGAGTGAGAGTCCCCATTTATCTACTCACGTGAGTTTTCGAACTGTTGGGTTGACAGGAGCTGGACAGGAGCTCACCCTGTTAACATGAAGGCTGGACTCGAACTGCTGAAGCGTCGACCATTTCTGGCCGGCAACTTTCAGCGTCATTAAGCCGCTGCGCCACCGCGTCCCCTTCTGCAGTATAGGTAGTCCTCAAATTACAACATTTGTTCAGTGACTGTTCGAAGTTATGACAGTGCTGAATGAAGGGACTTACAACTGGGGCTGTTGCAGTGCCCCTGCAGTTACATGAACAAAATTCAGGTGCCTGGCAACCAGCTCACACTTTCGACCAGTTGCAGTGTCCCATGGTCACATGATCACCATTTGCGCCTTCCCTGCTGGCTTCCCTCAAGCAATGTCAATGGGAAGCCAGCAAGGAAGGTTACAAGTTGCTGGGGTAAATCCCCTGGGCCTTTCTTTGCTTGCATGCATTGCACCCTTCTTCACCCCTTCATTCATACACTCCCCTCACCCTCTTTCCATGGCATCTCTGTGATCACATGCACCCTGCACCCTCCTTCCTTGGCCTCCCTGTGATCGCACATACACAAGCACCTACCCCATGCCCTCTTTCCATGGCATCCCTGCAAGTGCATGCACCTCACCCTGCAAGTGCATGCACCCTGTGCCCTCTTTCCTCAGCCTCCCTACGCTTGCACATACACACCCAGACTACCTGGATTGCTGTTGCTAAGCGATGCGGTCACATGACATCGTGCTTTACGACCACATTGCTTAGCAATGGCAATCCCGGTCCCAATTGCAGTTGTAACTTGAGAACTACCTGTATTGTTTTTGATCTGAAGAACCAGTTCTATGCACTGGATTGATATTTTAATTCACCTAATTCACTACAAACCCTAGACCCTTTCCTTGGTCTAGGATCAACTCAAATCTTATGTGAAGTTAACTTTTTTTTGTGTGTCCTTATGCAATACAGTAGAAAACAGTAATATAAATGCCATGCTATTTTGTTGCCCGTTATATATGGAAAGATCATTATATATGCAAACTAATCTGGACATTTGAAAGGTGTTGCATAAAAGTTGCACACCATGCTTAGTATGTATGCAATAGTAATTTTATGGTTGCTTCTTAAAAGACTGACCTTCAGCTTGGACAAAACAAAATTACTCTGCTCAAGACAATTGGGTTCAGCATTCATGAAATGGTGGAGCAAAGCTAGCAATTCAAGGTTCTACAGAGAAGGTTAAAGAGTTCAGGAGACACATGGAGAATTTAATAGAAAATTTCAATAAACTAACCAAAAGCAAATTTCAAATTTCCAAATATTTTGGAAATATTTAAGATTAATTTGCAAAGAAGCAACAAAAATAAAGCAAAATAACATTATTTTATTTCAAAAACATTTTAATGGTATTTTTATGGCTCAAAAAAAAAAAAACCCCACAATCTACTGATAGAATACATGTTTGTGGAAAATTCCCACATCGTTCAAATCGCAGCAGTGCAAAGTGCTCCACTTCCTTGCCCCTTTTCCTTAACAGCATCCCAAGAATGGAGGAAAATGCTTCAGTGCAGAGTGTCATGTTGGCTGTTACACTGCACATAATTGTAGCAGCCCACAATAGAGCCCTGTTGTGTTGTGATGTATCTTATCAAGCAAGTTAAATATGCAATCTAGAATGTTGAGTATAGTGATTCTATTTTGTTTAATACTAAGCAAGCACCTTGTTAAATAATCTTTCATACTCCTTTCTTGTTTAGATTCCAAGGGACAAGCCTGGGACCTATAAACCTTGGGCCATCCAAGTAGATTAATCTTCTACTTACTGGTTTTTCAATGAAGTTGTGATTCCTTTACCACACAATGTTATACATCTCTCTTCAGAAATATATAATGTGGTTTTCAATAGGACATACTCCCCAAATAAATGCTTAGAGGACTGCATCCTTCGTTGTCTATCAAGACAGTAATATTGGAACCATGTTTAGGATATGTTGGCCAAAGATGTTCAGTTTGATTATGCTACCAGATTTCAAAAAATAGTTTTTGTATGTAAGTAGAGTAAATCTTGTTACAGTGTATGTTGAAATGCCTAGAAAGTAACTTATAGATTTCACCGTATAATTTATAGGATTAGTGCAAAAAATAGGAGATTGTCTGACCAATCTGTGAGATTCAGCAAATACAGCTGCTCCTCCTTTAGCAACCATTCACAAATATAACAGTAATAAAAAAAAATAATTTTCCAACCACTTACGAGCAAATTTCATGCGCCTGACAACAACATACGCTGGAGAGAGTAACGCTGGCATAGCTGTATCACAGAAATTTATCTGAATGAGATAGCAGCAACCAGTGATCTCTCTCTGTCTTTCAGTCATGTGGTCACTCAGCATTTTGCTTCCAATTTAAGGAACGGATTGCAGTTGCTAAACAAGGAGAGGATATATAGAGAGATATTTACCTATAGATCTATAAAAATATTAAAATTCTATAAACTGTTGCTTGTAAGATGTACACCTCACCTCACCAATTGAATCAGTTGCTACAGTTGTGGAACACTCTTAACTCTTCAGGGTAAGGGTAAGTAGGTCAACAATAGATTAAAACAGTAGAGCTTCTATGGGGAAAGGAAAGACAGAATTGGATGGGAGAAAAATGTCATTATGGATAATTTTATCTTGTTTGTGGGCAACTAAGGTAAGCTTATCAAGGACATCATATGCTAGAAATGAACAGCAGCTATCAGCACAGTAGTAGATGCCAGCAAGGCAATGGCGATTTCTAGGAGTGCATATTATACTGCTATGTAAGAAACTTGGTTATTTTCATGTGGCCCTTTCCAATGATTTACAAAAGGGCACTTGAAAAATAGCTGCATATTCTATATAATGTTATATATTAAAAATGGCCCTTTTATCTGTCTGCATGCACCTACACATATACTATGTGGAATTGTAGTGAAGTCTCACATGTGTGTATTCTTTAATGAATAAAGATTGAATAACTTGGCACTTTTGAAAGCCTTTTATTAGAAATGCTGCCTTAAACATAAGTCTCATAATCTGGGGTGTTTTAACAACCAATTCCCAAATTGCAATACTGGGATTGCTGTAAACACCTTCTATTCAACTTCAGCACCATTCCCATTGCACTAGAGGGATGACATAACTATGAAAGGGACAAGTCCATCCTGGTATATTGAACAGTGATTTCATTTCCAGCCTTGAAAGCTTACCATTAATAGCCAAGCAATTAGGTTTTGATTCCAAATCACATGAGAAGCTAACATTGTGGAATAACCCAATGCGAAAATATCAGGGAAGATGTTTAACTGGAACATTTGGCTAAACAAGGGATCAATACTTTGATATAAGTTGGTTGGTTGTTTTAAAGACTTTGAGACATTGTGTGTTGAATATGACTTACCTACAACATTTGCTTGGCAATATACACAATTGAAATACCTGGTAACCAAGCAATATGATCTGGACACTCTAGCAATTTTGAAATGCAGGACCAAAAAATATCAGCCAAAAAAAAAAAAAAATTCTAGTAAAAAAACCCCACAATGTTAAGTACTAGAATTTGTCATCTCATGAAGAGCTTTGACTCTTTCAAGCCAAGGGCACAGCAAAGAGGACAATTTTACATGAATGGAAACTTATCAGTGCTAGTAGCATATATTAAATTTGACAGTGGCTTATCTGTTTGTTTAATCAGTGACATCACCAAAGTAAACAAACCCCATGTCATGCAGATGTCACCAGGTCATGATCCTAACCCGATATGACATGCATACCCAGTCCCCACATGATGCTGGAGTCACAAGGTCACAACTCCTACCGGACATGACGTATTGATCCTAATCCCATCAAGGGTGACAGTCAACCCTAGTGTAATTAGCTAACCAAACCTAGCCCTAATCCAATGTGGATTCATATAATTAACAAGACCCTAGGCTGTGCAGTATTCGGGAAGCAAACCCTATTTGTGCATTATGAAATAAATAAAGCCTAATGATGCTTTTAATTTTGTGGAGTTTTAAAAGCAGCGCCTTGAATGCAGGAAAAGAAGACCCTAAAATACAGCCACATTTACCCCCCTTTTCTAAAAAGGCTTTATTTCTACGCAATTTTAAAATCACTCCCTTGAATGCAGGAAAAAAACGGTGAAATACTTCTGTGTTAACATGAACAGAGTTGACACTTCAAAAATAATTTTTGGCTATTTATCTTGAAAAACACATATTTTTAAACAGTTATTTTATTAACTTCTGTGTTGTAAGGTTACTTAAAATAGGGTTACCTTATTTCTGCTGAAGAAATCCAGATGGCCACTAGATGGTAACAAAAATTTGGTTTCCCCTGTATCTCCATATGCTGTCTAGTGTCATCTGGGGTTTGTGGGTTTGTTTGGGTTTTTTTTGGTAGCACAGATATGATGGCCCTAGCTAGGGCCTAGCTTTGTTTTATTTTATTTATTAGGGTGTATTTTTATTGTAAATCTTGAAACATTTAAAACAGAGATAAAGATTTGCCTCTTTTATTATCTCTAACATTTGCTCCCTCTGCCACAAAAGAGTTACCACATAGGTACTGTGGCCATCTACCTTTTATTGAATTTATATTGATTGATATGCCACCAAGTCATTTTTGACTCCTATAATTTTTCTATAAAGTAGCTTAAGTCAAAAGTGGATGAATGGCCTAACAACATATAATGAATCACAGAATATGAACCTTGGTCCTAACTTGACACTTCCCAACTTGTTAACAAGAACTTTATTAATATTTTATTAATAATGATTGTGCCCCTGCATGCAGATGTCCATAGCTGTGTAGCTACATATGCTAAGTTTGTTTCTGAGTACACCATTTGAAAGGGAGCAAGTTATACAAAGAATCCACACTGCAGCATTCTTACAGCGTTTGAACATGGTCATTGTGGGTTTTGCAGAGTGGATCTCGGCTTTTCTAGACCTGTTGGAACCCACCCATTTCTTGTCAGGACCGCCGTGCAACTAAGATGCCACTCCCTGTCCCCACACACATGGTCCTGCTGCTCTTCACAGGAAGCCTGGGAACGGACCGTTTTCCTGAGGAGCAAGGAAGGGCATGCCTGAGCTAATGAAAGCAGCAGCCAGAGACGCCAGCTATTTTTCACGGTTCCTTTTCTCACAGGGCAGCTGGTTCAGCTAGACTCCCGGGGTGCCAAGATGCAGAAATGCCCCCCGGACAGACTCTGAGTTACGTTCCAGATTGCTATCCGCTACCCTTACCCAACCAGGCGCTCTCCAATATGCGCCAGCCACGCTGGTTGGGAATTGTGTCCGCAACACTCTTGTAGACAACCGGATTTCCTACAGCCAGTTTGGTATAGTGGTTTAAAGCATCGGGACTAGAAACCAGGAGACCGTGAGTCACGACGTCAGCTGGGTGACCTTGGGCCGGTCCCTCTTTCTCAGCCCTAGGAAGGAAGCAAGGGCAAATCACTCCCGAAATCTTGCCAAGAAAACTGCTACGACTTGTCCAGGCAGTCGCCAGGAGTCAAGGAAAAAAACCAGCGCCAGAATCTGCTGTAAGCCTCTCCCCGTCCCACTGCGGGAGAGTCACGAGCCAGGCGGGCCTGTTGAGCAGAGGCTAGAGCTGCCCTCTCTTACACGTCACCTCCCCCCCCCACATCGGTGACGCAAGCACGAATGGTTTTTCCCGGGAGGGGGAGGGGGCCTCCTCCGTAAGTTCTCGCGCCGTCTCTGCTTCTCGCGGCAGGTTAAGGGGGAGGAGACTGAAGATACTACTGCCTCCAGCCACCTTTCCGTCCTCCTCGCGTCGCTAGTAAAGCTCGTGCTCCCTGGACGTTCCTTTCCTGCCTTAAAAGTCGGTGAGACTCGAGGAGGGGTGGGTAAGCGGGCGCGGGGCCGTTCGGAACGCGCCTGGGCGGTAACGGCCGCGCCGGTCGAGCCTCTTCCCCCCTCCCCCACGTCCTCTGGCGCGGCCTGGCCTGGCCTGGCCTGGCCTGG